AAATAAAAGTATTTACAGCTCCAACTTATATTGCAGGGGAATCTGGGAACCTCAGAGGCTGTTCCTGATGCAGTAAACGGGCTGCCTTACTTTCAAAAGAAATTATGGGTTATGATCCTGCCACTTTCAGCAATGCGCTTCTGCTAGTGGGTGGATCTTTGGCCAGGAGTAAACTCCACCGGACCCAAGAGAATTTTAGCTCCCGGGATAAGATTTTGGCCACCTGTTTGCATGGCTTTCCGGGAGAGAAAAAGCTACGCAGCTGGAGTTTTCTGCAAGCCAGTTAGGAGCGAGGGACTGGGGGGTGATGTTGGGATGGAAAAGCTAATAAGAAAAACCCGTTTAGACAAGCTTTGCTTCCCAGTGTATACCTATAGACCCCCTATACTCCCCCCTACACCAGGTTTGTTGCCTGTGACCAAGCAGGTTTTCAAAACACTGCAAAACTGGCCGAACTTGTGTCTCCCTGGGCACAGAGAAGGCAGAAAGAATACTATCAGATTTTGCTTAGCTTAAAACAAATAAACAGAGTGGGAGGGGGAAATAAGTCAAGGGAAACTAATTCAAAGCAACCCTTCGAGCCTCTGATTCGCCCAAGTAAGGTTCTACCGCCGTAGAAGGCTAGCCTTAGGGCGCAACAAGATTCTATTGTTTTCCTGCATCCCGAGGGCTGTCTCTCTTTAGAAACGATTAATTGCATTCAGTGCTAGCAGAAACCAAAATAAAACGAAGAGTCCTGTCGGTCTCTAAGGAGGAACACGTTTTATTTGGCGCAAGCTTTCCAGGACTGCGGCCAGCTTGCGGCCAAATAGAACTATCTGATATTTGTAGTCTTTTTTTTTAAAAAAGAGGGATGATAGCTAGAGAGAGAGAGATTCCACCACCACCCCGCACTCGATCTGTCTGTCTCTTTGTCTGTCCGTCCCGGCCCTGCTTCTGGCTAAGAGGGACCAGCGGCTCACCGGTGAGGATGGAGAGGCGCCTCATGGCCGGGAAAGGGTGGTTGCCGGAGGTGTCCAAGATGTCGAGCTGATACACCTCCCCGCGGATACTGTAGAACTTGCGGTGGAAGTCCTCGATGGTGGGCGTGTACTGGTCCTCGAAGCGGCCGGTGAGGAAGCGGGAGACGATGGCCGTCTTGCCCACCTTGGAGGAGCCCAGGATGACCATCCGGTAGCAGTTCTTGGCCGGGATGTTGAGCTCCGCCTCGCTGCTGGGACCCATCTTCTTGATCATCTCCGCCAGGCGCATTGGAGAGGCGACAGCGAGAAGCGAGCGCGCACGAGAGAGACAGAGAGAGACGGAGAAGCGAGGAGGGACCGCGGCGAACCGAGCAGGGGAAGCGGCGCACGTGGAAGGGCTCTCGGCAGTTGTGCCGGCTCCAGGCGCGCCGCGCTCTTATATAGCCTCCAGCCCTGCGCCTGCACGAGGTCAGGGACCCTATCCTTTCCTTACTCACTTTTCCCACCACCATTGTTACTCTCTCTCTCTCTCTCTCTCTCTCTCTCTCTCTCTCTCACACACACAGACACACACACACACACAAAACACACAACACACAACAAAAAATGCCGAACGATACTGCCCTGAGACATGAAGTGGGATCACAGGAAAACAATTGAGAGAGAGAGAGAGAGAGAGAGAGAGAGAGAAATCACACAGCCTGCTTTTTGGCTGAGAGCAATGCTTTTTAACACCTTGGGGGTGGGGAGTAAGGGAGAAAAGAACTGGCAGTGTTCCTGAGCAAGTGCAGAGTGCAACCTCCTGCACTCCCAACCGTGAAGGGGGTCCAGAGGTGGATGCCTCGTGAAGCAGAGCGTGGAAGCCGGCTGGGGGTGGGAGATGCATCAGTGATGCTCACCAGGGAATGTGCAAAAGATGGCAACCACAAGGTGGTCATCAGAAAGCTCCCAGAATCCCCAGTGACCCTGCAGCCTAGGGGATTCTGGAATTGCAGTCCAAGAAGGGACCACTTTCCCCAGTTTTCTCTGGATTTGGCTTGCCTCCTGCCCTACTTCGCTCCTTGGTTAAAGCCTGTGCTGCTTCAGTACGCCCCCGTAGCACTTAAAGCAATCTCTGGGAAGTCTGCAATGTTTTAATTATGCAGGTCACACATTGCTCCCTGCCCCCCCCCCACCAAGTACCAAGCTGAGTACTCAGTTTACCCACCTTGGAAGGACAGAAGGCTGAGTCAACTGGAGCAGTGGGGATCAAACTCAAGCCCTGAGCAGAGTGTTGACTGCAGTATTGCAGTTCAACCACTGTGCCATGAGACACACACCCCCCCCCGAAGCTAACTGAAAGCCACCTGGCTGGGGAAACAAGAAATAATGCTTTTTAAAAAGAAAAATAACAACAGGAAAGAGGGAGGGAAGGACACAAAAACTCCGTGGGATAACTCCAGATTTTGCAGGAGAATTTTTCTTCATTCCCCTGGGCAGAGTTTGCATTCATTCCCACCCACCCTTCCCAAAATCTCTTATCCTGGTATTGGTAAATAAAATACAGTGAGCCAGTTTTGGAAGCCACAGCTTCTCTTCTGTTGGAAAAGGCCAGGTGGCCACGCATGAACGATGAGGGAGGCTTCTCCTGAGCATGCAAAGAGTGCATCCACTTTGGATAACCAGACCATTGAGATCTCGAGTCTGCAGTAATTGATCTGGTTGGGCCTGGTGATTTTGCATTCAGCTTTCCCACCCAACTGCACACCGGGGAATGTGCTTAGTCTCAGCTTTCCTGTCTGTAAAATGGGGACAGAAGCAGAGTTGATATTCTTCCACGAATAGCTAAGCTGGATCAGAGCAAAGGGCCTATTTAGTCATGTGAGCAGTTGGGCAGAGTGGCCAACACGCACCACAGACCTCACAACTGGTATGGTACATGCCCAATTATTTCCCTCTCCCCAATAATTATTATGAGTCTTATCTCCTGCACTTTTCCCAGATTGAAAACAGCCTTTCCCATATGTGGTGTCTTGAACAGTACATGATATTCCACCCTAGTTTTGTGCAAAGGATGTGTGCAACAGGGCAGAACAATAACGTTAATCATAAGATGCTGAAATCATGCTGATCGACCTCTGATGTGTGCCAAGAAAAAGCCATTATGGGTAATCATAATCGCAAATAAATACAGCTTTGGGGGTGGGGGGGGGAAGGAGAATTTGGAAGTTAATTGGGCAAGGACTGCGGCTACGATACGTAATTTCTCCCGCTAGGGAGCGCCGGAGGGCACCGTTTGCTATTCTTTGCGGAACTTTCCGGAGCGTGTGCAAATTTTCATTTTTCCCTTCGCATCTTATGCAGCAACTTCTGCCAACAGTGTGTGTTGAAAGGCGGAGGAAGGTTGTTAAAAGCCTGGGTTTAATGAAGTACACTGCAAAATTACAAATGCGAGTAACCAGAAAGGCCTCTTTGGAGGGATGAGAGAAGAAGGACTATATTGTACAGAGATATTCAAAGGGAAAAGCATAGGGAAACCAGCAAGAACCTGAGACCCATGTAGTTCCTAGGGTCAAATCAAGCTCTATCCTCTTCCTTAGAAGTGGAACAGACTCATAAACACCAATGGGAAGGAGAGGGGAGCTTAGTGAAGAGTGTGTTGATCTCATCTTGATGCATTTAATTGAGTGTTGCAAAGGGAGTGAACGGGGGGTGGGGGGAATGAGACCTTGTTTTCTGTTGGTTCCAACTCCTGGATATATCTAGCCTGTTTGTTGCCTATGCTGTTTGGAAGCAGCTGTTCAGGGCTTTGGACAAGATTCTTTCTCTGCTATACCAGGAGATCCTTAGTATATTATTCTGTGGAAATTAAGATACAGGCACCCACCAATCCTGATGCTGCTTTTGGGTCAAAAAATCACAGGAGATGAAGTGTGTTCAGTTTGCTCCAGATCGTGGCCTGGTGTCTCTGATGTCCTTGAGGAAGTGAATGTGCTCCAGGTTTTACTCAGAACTTTAAAAGGATTACCTAAAACACAGAACCTACTTGAGGATAGGGTTCAGCACCCCTGACAGCTCCCGGGATGCTTAGACAATCAGAAAATAATGGAACAGGAAGAAGCCTGTAAGGCCATCAGGATCAACCCCCTGCTCAAGGCAGGAGTCGAAATCAAAGTAGATCTGACAGGTAGGTATCTAATTTTGACTCAAACACATGGGTTTCATTAGATCCCTACCTGTCAGATCTACTTTGATTTGGACTCCTGCTATGTCTAGCATTATACCTTCTCACCACGTTCAGCTCTTGGACTGAGCTGGCAGTAGTACTCACCAAGGACGGCTATTATTTGGAAGATCAGGAGACTAGGTATTGATCCGAAATTCTGGCTCTAATGACGTGGCCTGTTAATAGCTCTCTGTGTTTCTTTCTGTGTGTGTTTCTCTCTCTGTGTGTGTTAAAAATAGCCAGTTCCTCCATGCTTAGCCGGTAGCTGGCAATGGAAAACATATTTCCTGTCTTCAATGAACCTCTTTCGTTGACATTAAAGTCAAGTGTGCATCATCTAAGAGGGGTTTATGAATGCTGAATAAGCGTAAATAAGCCAGGGATGAAAATAGAAGATTCAGGAAGAAATCAGTTATCCTCTTGCTTTCACTTGTCTCAAATCCAGCAAGGAAATGTATATTCTTCTACGCAAAACCTCATCGAAGTGTTTCCAATGGAAACTTAATGTATTGCTACAGCTCTCGATCAGACATTTGTGCATGTAGACGCCTACAGTGTGAGTAACTCAGAGGATGAAATAGATCAGCTCCCCTCCTCTTCCATTGTCGATGCACTAGTACTAGGTTCTCTACAAGGAGAACTTGGAAAAGTTACTTTGCTGGGCTGACCTGAAGTGCCTTTTCTACTGGACTCCACTGGGACTCAATCAGTGGGATAGAAAAAGTCCTCCATGCTCACTCCTTGTATAATTTCCTAGCGTTCAAAGCCTTATAGACTAGAAGACACCACTGGCCACTTGAGAAGTCTCTGGTTCATCATCTGGTCAAACGCAGCACTCAAAAGGTGTGGTTTCAATGCTGACTTTCCTTCAACAGTGTGTCCTTTGGGTGTGTTGGGCCACAAGTCCATCATCCCCAGTGAGTGGGAATGATGGCTTGGGAGCATGGGAATTGTAATTAAACACAACCCACAGGCACTCCCTTGTGGGAGGTGGAAGCAACATTTGGCCGTCGGTCTGGGCCAACACTGAGACAACATGCTCTCCTTTGTCTCAGTAGCTGAGTTGCTGGCCATGGTGCTGAATGCCATAAAGCCCCATATTCCCTGTCCAAGGTCCTGAAATTGCCCCAATGTGCAGTTATACAGTATTTGAAAAGGCCTATGGCTGGAGAGCTCAGTGGTTTAGGTATCTGGCTGTGGAGCCAGAGGTTAAGAGTTCGATTCCCCCACTGTGTTTCTGGTGAAGAAAAGCCAACCTGTGTGACCTTTGGCAAGCTGCACAGTCCGGTGAAGAAAAGCCAGCCTGTGTGACCTTTCAAGCTGCACAGTCCCAGGTTACCCTCAAAAGAAGGGAAAGGTAAACCACATCTGAGAACCTGGAAAACACTGGAAAAGGGTCACTGTACATCAGAATTCACTTGGCAGCACGTGATTATTATAATTTCATCATCACAGAACTGCAGAGCTTAAAGGGACCCTTCAGATCATGGGGTCCAGCCCTTTTCAAGGAGGCATAAGGGGGAAATCAAACTCCCAACCTCTGGCTTCACAGCCAGAGACCTAAACCACTAAACCACCAAGCTGTCCAGTATCTTGCTTAGGAGTATTTGCCTATTGTCAGTGATGGAATCCCTGACAGGTCAAATATCCATCAGGATATTATTTAGAAGGGCCACTGGAAATCCACAGACTATTTTGATGGGAGATTGGGCAGTTTTCATCTTACTGATCTGCCAGGAGGTGCTGGAGTTAAAATAGCTAACAGAGAGTTCCTCCATAGACCACCTCTATGAAATGAACTTCTGTGACTTCCGATGCGGTCACAAAAATATAATTTGTCAACACTCTGGCTGTACTAAAGTTTATAACCGTCATCATCCATCCAAATGTTTTAACTGATGAAGGCTGAGATGCTCTTGAATAGAGCGCCACTGAGCACAGAGTTATTTCCAAGACAATTTAGAAAAAACTTATTTTCTTTGGCTTCTCGCTGAAATAAATCTATTGCATCACCGTTCGGCAATCCGCTCAATAGGCCTACTCCGACTGGGACTTGGGTTTAGGTCTGAGTGCCAGTGGGAGAAGCTGGGAGTCAAACCAGAAAATGCTGAAATAGAGTCTGGAAATGTTAGTTTTCAGATGACAAATCTCAGA